ATGTCAATAGGCTTGGAATGAATTTTTCTGTATGAAACTGTGTGTTTTGACAATGAAGAGGAGATCTTTTTTAAACATTGGAACCTAATTTAATTTTATCTCTTAGAGAGTTTATAATGAGTATAAGATTTTATAAGTGTAATAATTCATCTGTAAACCTAGAAATGTACAGCCAATTTTGAAAGAGATGTACCCTAGCTCAGAAAAATGTTATTGAATAAGTTAGTGCTGTAGTAATGAAATGCTTCTTCTAATAAAAAAAAAGGGAGTTAAAATCTGTGTCAGAAGGGAGAAATATAAAAATGTATAAAAATACATTTTCTAACTCTACACTGTTTAATTTATTTTACTATGATTGCCACTGTTAACTAGTCCTATTATTATCTCCCTTAAATAGTATGCACAGAATGACAAAGGAAATAACATATAATCTATAATTTTAAATTAAAATACTATGTGTACAATAATTATTTTTATGCATTATACTTTGATCTGACACATCTGCATCCTGAATTGATAGTCTGAAACGTTGGTCACATTAGTGTATATGAAAATGTCCTTCACAGGTTTCTTTTGTTTGTTTATTTTGAGGCAAAGTCTTGCTATATAGCCTGGGCTGGCCTGGAACCCAAGCTGGCCTTTAACTCACAATCCCCGTCTCTACCTCGCATGTGGTGATAGCATTAAAAGGGATTTGATTTCACAAATAAGTCTTGCTCGCTGGCTTCTTTGCTTTTTTCTTTATTTCTTTCTTGCTTTCTTTCGTTTTGTGGAGGTGGGGAGAGGGTCGTGCTGAGAATGGCACTCAGAGCCTCACATGTGCTGGCCGGTGCTCTGCCACTGAGCTACACTCCCAGCCCGTAGACTCTAATATACATATATCAGCTTTGAATTGATAGAAACATAACTTCAGATATTTTATGGTATATTCTTTTTTAGTAAAAATTCCTGGACAAGCCTCTTATCCTCGAAAAACATTCTCAAGGTAAGAGAGTTACACTTGATTTCTTCTAGCCAATATTATTCTTTTTCTTCTGTCTCATGGTTTTGAATTAAAGCAACTGATAAGATGACTTTTTGAAAGCATTTATTAATCGAGTATCTCTTTATCTCC